CTTTGGCTATTCTAAGTAGTGCTGCTATGAGTATTTATGTGCAAAATTTTGCTCATATGTTTTCAATTCCTTTGGGGTCTATACCTAGGAGCAGAATTGCTGGATCATACAGTAACTCTATGTGTAATTTAATGCTGTTTTCTGCAGTAGCTGCCCAACTTTACATTCCTACCAGCGATACATGAGGGATGTCCTCTTGACTTTTTTTTTTGAGGCAGAGCCTCTAGCTATTGCCCTGGGTAGAGTGCTATAGCATCACAGATAACAGCAACCTCCAACTCTTGGGCTGAAGCGATTCTCTTGCCTCAGCCTCCTGAGTAGCTGGGACTACAGGCGCCTACCATGATGTTTGGCTATTTTTTCTGTAGTTGTCATTGTTTGGCAGGCCCTGGCCGGATTTGAACTCACCAGCTCTGGTGTATATGGCTGGCACCTTAACTGCTTGAGCTACAGGCACTGAGCCTGTCCTCTTGACTTCTGGTGGCCCAGTGGCTCATCTGTAATCCTCACTCTTTAAAAGGAGGCCAAGGAGGGAGGAATGCTGTAGGCCAGGAGTTTTGAGACCAGCCTTACCAACATAGCAAGACCCCATTTCTACAAAAATAGAAAAATTAGCCAGGTGGGGTGGTAGGCACCTGTAGTTCCAGCTACTGTGGGAGGCTGAGGCAGGAGAATAGCTTGAGCCCAGGAGTCTGAAGTTGCTGTAAGCCAGGTGTCCTCAAACTACGGCCTGCAGGCCACATGCAGCCCACCTAGGACATTTATCTGGCCCGCTGGGTGTTTTTAATTACCGCTGCCTGTCCTGCTTAGCAGCCGACGTGTCCCAGGCCCGCAGTCTGGCCCTCCAATGGTCTGAGGAACAGTGAACTGGCCCCCTGTTTAAAAAGTTTGAGGACTCCTGCTCTAAGCTATGATGATGCCATTATACTCTAGCTTGGGGAATAGAGTGAGACCCTGTCTCAAAAACAGAGAAAAAGGCTTGGTGCCTATAGCTCAAAGCAGCTAAGGTGGTAGCCACATACCCCTGAGCTGGCGGGTTCGAATCTAACCTGGGACCTGCCAAACAACAATGACAGCTGCAACGAAAAAAAACAGCCGGGCATTGTGGTGGGCGCCTGTAGTCCCAGCTACTTGGGAGGCGGAGGCAGGAGAATCTCTTGAGCCCAGGAGTTGGAGGTTGCTGTGAGCCGTGAAGCCATGGCACTCTACCCAGGGGGACAGCTTGAGGGTCTGTCTCAGAAAAAAACAAAACAAAACAAAAAAACAAACAAAAAACCTTTTCCTCCATGGAGAAATGGTGAAATTATTATATGTTAAATTTCTATTTCTCTGAAAACCTGACATAATTCAGCTGTGTTATTAAGTGGCATTGAGCCCCGTGTGCCTGGACTGGGAAGACTGGAAATGCACCGTAAGCACCCAGCACAAAGCCAGGGCACTAGGGCTTCCTGGAGGGCTCTGCATTCTTGTAACTAGAAATGGCCCTGGCCAGCACCCTAGAAACAAGGCCCATGAGACTATATCTAGTAATAAATTTCTTTTGGGGATGTGTGGGGCTTCTAAGCTAGGGGGCTTCCACACCCACCCATGTAATCTTGTTTTCTCCTATCTCAGAAGTCATCATTTGGGGGAGCAGTGGCATCCCCACAGAAGAGAAAGACCTAATGCTTCCCTGCCGCGTGCAGCCTTTTTGGTTGTTTCATGTGTACTGGAACCCAAAGCATGGAGCACACATGTTGCAGAGGGGTGGCCTGTGGTAGAGTCCCTAGAGTTAGGGGCCAGGTCAGGCTGGGTCTGAATCCTAGCTCTAGGACTCACCTGATGGACACCCTTAGCCAGGGATTTATTATATACGTAGTGCCTCTGCCAAGCCACCTGGAATGTGTGGCTAATCATAGCCTCTCCCTACCCCTATGGTGAGGATTAAATGAATCAATACGTATCACATATTCAGAGCAGCACCCCTATAAAATTTGCTATTAATTTTATTGCACCTCACTCTTTACATCTTGCTCTATGTCCCTTTTTCTTCCTGGTCATATCTCCACTGTTGCTAAATCCAAGGCCCATATTCCACTTTCTCTTTCACAGACTCTCTTCTTTTAGCATCCCTGATGCCATATTTTCTCTTCCCCTGCCAACTGGGCTTTCTCATTTGTCTTTAAAGCAAAAAATTCACTCAGAAGTTCCAAACTCAAATGCTCATGGGGAAAGAGGTATTTTTGAAATGGTGATATCTGAGGGTGGCGCCTGTGGCTCACTCAGCAAGTAGGGTGCCAGTCCCATATGCTGGAGGTGGCGGGTTCAAACCAGGCCCTAGCCAAAAAAAAAAAAACAAAACAAAAAAATGAAATGGGCATATCTGAACATGAACTGGGCATTAGAAGATGTTAAAGAAGACTGTTAAGTGTGATAACAGCATGATAGTTAAGTAATAAGTTGCTTTCTTGTGTAATTCCACACTTTGGGAGACTGAGGAGGCAGCAGGAGAATTGCTGAAAGCCAGGAGTCCAAGACCAGTCTAGCAATATAGTGAGACCTCATCTCTACAAAAAATAAAAAAATGAGCAGAGTGTGGTGGTGGGTGCTTATAGTCCCAGCTCCTGGGGAGGCTGAAGTGGGAGAATCACCTGAGCCCAGGGAGGTGCTGGAGGCTCCATGAGCTATGATCACAGCATTGTACTCTAGCCTGGGTGACAGAGTGAGACCCTGTCTCTAAAAACAAAAAGAAATAAAGATTCACGGGGTGGTACCTGTGGCTCAGTGGGTAGGGCACTGGCCCCATATACCGAGGGTACAGGTTCAAACCCAGCCTCGGCCAAACTGCAACAAAAATATAGCTGGGTGTTGTGGCAGGCACCTGTAGTCCCAGCTACTCGGGAGGCTCAGGCAAGAGAATGGCCTTGTTGTGAGCTGTGTGACGCCACGGCACTCTACTGAGGGCGAGAAAGTGAGACTCTGTCTTTAGAAAACAAAAAGAAAAAAAAGAAAGAAAGAAAGAAAGAAAGATTCAAATATTTATGATAAAATAACGTGACATCTGGGATTTGTTTGAATTATCCCCATCAGAAAAAAAGAGGGAAAACAACACTGAACCAAATGTTGATGATTGTTGAAGTTGACTGACAGCTAAATAGGAGTTCATGGCTCGGGCGCCTGTGGCTCAAGTGGCTAAGACGCCAGCCATGTACAACCAAGGTGGAGGGATCGAATCCAGCCCAGGCCTGCCAAACAACAATGACTGCTGCAACCAAAAAATAGCTGGGCATTGTGGTGGGTGCCTGTAGTCCCAGCTACTTGGGAGGCTGAGGCAGGAGACTTGCTTGAGCCCATGAGTTGGAGGTTGCTGTGAGCTGTGATCCCATGGTACTCTACCCAGGGCGACAGCTTGAGGCTCTGCCTCAAAAAAATAAATAAATAAATAAATAAATAGGAGTTCATAATAGACATTAATTACCCTGCAGAAGCTGAAAAAATTTCCCGCAAAAGAAAAACAAAACCCCAAAAGAATGTCTACAAGGTCCTGGCAGGTCATGTACATAGAGGGCCTGGTGGAGACTGGGATCCTGCAATTTGTCTGAAAAAACAGTTGCTATTGGTTCCAGATGATTTTTGTCAGGAATTCATGCAAAAAGTTTCCAAATGTTGGAATTTTTCTTTTCAAGAGAAGCTGGATGTTTACATGGAATCAATCCAGTAATTCACATTTTCAAAAATAAAGGTCAGGCCAAACAAAACATGTTTGTTGGTGGAGTCTAGCCCATGGGCTATAAATTTGAGACTTTGTTGGTGGCTAAGAGTCCAAATCTCAGCTTCACTTCTCTTTTTTTCTACTTTTTAGGAACAGGATCTTGCTGTTGCCCAGGCTGGGGTACGGTCTCATGATTATAATTCATTGTAACCTCTGACTCCTAGGCTCAAGTGATCCTTCTGCCTCAGCTTCCCAAGTAGCTAGGACTCTAGGTGTATACCACCTCACCCAGTTAATTTTTTAATTTTGTTTTCTAGAGATGGGGTCTTGCTACATTGCCCAGGCTGGTCTTTTTTTTTTTTTTAGACAGAGTCTCACTTTGTCACCCCTGGTGGAGTGCTGTGACATTGTAGCTCACAGCAACCTCAAAGTCTCGGGCTTAAGTGATTCTCTTGCCTCAGCCTCCCAAGTAGCCCAGGCTGGTCTTAAACCCTTGGTCTTAAGCAATCTTCCTGCCTCCTCAGGTGTTTACAGGTGTGAGCCACAGTGTTTGGCCACTTTGATTTCTTCCAAGGTGTGTGGATTGTGGGCGAATTATCTACCTCTTCAAGCTTCTGTGTGCTATCATGAAAACAATGACAACAATCCCCTCTCAGTTGTTTTGGGGATTAAATGAGCTTATGCCCTGGCAGCTGGCTCATAGAAGGCATCCAAGAAATGTAAGTATATTATAACATTATTACTATTTTAGGTCATTTAATCTCTAACCACCCTCCAAGTGTGGGAATTCTCTGTACTTTGTCTCAGACTCTATTTTTTTTTTTTTTTTGAGACAGAGCCTCAAGCTATCCCCCTGGGTAGAGTGCTGTAGCATCACAGCTCACAGCAACCTCCAACTCCTGGGCTCAAGCTAGTCTCCTGCCTCCGCCTCCCAAGTAGCTGGGAGCACAGGCGCCGGCACAACCCCTGGCAATTTTTTGGTTGCAGCCGTCATTGTTGTTTCTGGCGGGCCTGGGCTGGATTCGAACCTGCCACCTTAGGTGTATGTGGCTGGCGCCTTAGCCACTTGAGCCACAGGCGCTGAGCCAGACTCTATTTGTTTTAGACAGAGTCTCACTATATCACCCTTGGTAGAGTGCAGTGGTGTCACAACTCACAGCAACCTCTAACTCTTGGGCTTAAGCGATTCTCTTGCCTCAGCCTCCTGAGTAGCTGAGACTACAGGCACCTGCCACAACGCCTGGCTATTTTTTGTTGCAGTTGTTGTTCAGCAGGCTCGGGAAGGGTTTGAATCCGCCAGCCTCAATGTATGTGTCTGGAGCCCCACCCATTGAGCTACGGGTGCCGCCATGTCTCAGGCTCTTTTATCTGCGTCAGCAATTTATCTCTAGTCACTTCCACAACTTGAATTATCTTTCTCCATTGGCGACTCTCTCTGCTCTCTTATCTCCAGCTCATTGTTGTTTGTCCTAAGGCACAGGCCCAAGTATCATTTGACTACTGCACACTGCTACAGCTGTCTACAGATGTCTCAAACTCTCACCAAGAAGCTCACCATCTTTCCTCCAGTGCTCATACTGGGTTCACCATGCGTGGACAGCCACCCAGTTACAGACCCAGAACCCAGGGCCAGTCCTTGCTGTCTCAATCCCCTAACCCCTATTTCCTATCCCACAGGCTGTGCCAGGCTCAAGCCTTAGTTCTTTACACCCAGACCACTGCACTCATCTCCTGCCTTTCCCCTCAAAGAAGCCTGATTTCTTGCATGGGGTGCTGGAGGACTCTGGGAGATCAGTAGAAACCCATGAGGGAATTCTGAAAGGACCTGGGGAACCACAGGAAATTCACAGCACCCTATATATCCACAGGAACCCCAAGATCATTACAGGAGCCCCTGAGGGGCCATGGGAGAGCTAGGGAGGCTCTGAGGGGCCCCGACGGATCAGGGAGACTCACGAGGATCACGGTGGGACCTGAAGAATCATGGAGATTCTCTGGGGCAGCTAGAGGGCTCATGAGAGCCCAGTGGGGCATTCTGAGGGGCCATAAGAAATCACAGAAAGGTGTGATGCTTTCTGGTGTTCTGAGAGTTAAGATGAGATCACACGAGCCTCATTAAGTACTGAAGGCCCCGATGAGTCTCGGAGACTTCATGGAAGGTCTGAAGGTCTGGGGTGTTGTTTTTGTGAGACAGAGCCCCAAGCTGTCCCCCTGGGTAGAGTGCTATGGCATCACTGCTCACAGCAATCTCCAACTCCTGGGCTCAAGCGAGTCTCCTGCCTCCACCTTCCAAGTAGCTGGGATTACACGCGCCCGCCACAACACCTGGCTATTTTTTGGTTGCAGCCGTCATTGTTGTTTGCGGGCCCGGGCTGAATTCAAACCTGCCAGCTCAGGTGTAGGTAGCTGGCGCCTTGGCCGCTTGAGCCACAGGCGCCAAGCCAGGTCTTGGGTGTTCAAGGGAGTCCCCACAGGCGGGCGCGGTGGCTCACGCCTGTAATCCTACCACTCTGGGAGGCTGAGGAGGGTGGATTGCCTGAGTTCATGGGTTCGAGACCAGCCAGAGCAAAAGCGAGACCACTGTCTCTAAAAATAGCCGGGTGTGCGGGCGCCTGTAGTCCCAGCCACTTGGGAGGCTGAGGGAAGAGGATCGTTTGAGCCCAAGAGTTTGAGGTTGCTGTGAGGTATGACGCCACTGCACTCTACAAAGGGCGACAAAGTGAAACTCTGTCTCAACAAACGAAACAAAAAACGGAATCCCTCGCAGGACTTCTGAGTCCCGGGGATCCCAGAAGGTTCTGAGGGGGCCCGAGGAATCGATCACAAGAGCCCCATAGGAGGGTCCTCGGTAAACACAGAAACATCACTGCAAGTTCAGGACCGAGGAGCAAAGAACTACCGAGGATGATCGGGATGAAAGACTAAGACAATACAGCCACAAAACCTCAAGACGACGTCCTTTGGGGCTGAACTGGGCGGAGTTGCCAAACCGCCGCGGTGCATGCCGGGACTCCCCCGCGCAAAACCGGACCCCCCGCGGCCTGGGAAGGGAGTGGGCTGCACGGGTCTGGCGGGCTCTCACCAGAGCGCATGCGTGGCTCTCCGGAGCGGGTCCGTACTCCAGCGTGGCGAAGATCTCGCGGGCGCTGGGCCCTGTACCCGTCGCAGCCATCTCCTGCTGGGTCCTCTTTCCAAGGAGGGCTTCGCCTTGAGGTCCGAAGGGTGACACCGCCCACTCCAGATCAAAGGGGCGGGGTTACAGGGTATAGAGCGTGGCTCCACCCACTCTCGGGTTTAGGACCCTTACCCTCCGGCAAGCTCGCGGGGGCGGGGAAAATGTCGTTTGGAGCATGCGTGCTCCTCAAAGCCCGGAGGACCTGGAGGCCGGAAATGTGTGTGCCCTGCTAATAGGAGGGTTCAGAATTAAGAAGGTTGGAAGTATTGGTGTGTTTTCCCACTACCTTATATTGGGGACAGAAAGTACTCTTTCTTTTTTTTGTTTGTAGAGACAGAATCTCACTATATCGCCCTCGGAGTGCCGTGGCGTCACACAGTTCACAGTAACCTCCAACTCCTGGGCTTAAGCGATTCTCTTGACTCCGCCTCCCGAGTAGCTGGGACCACAGGCGCCCGCCACAACGCCTGGCTATTTTTTGGTTGCAGTTCGACCGGAGCCGGGTTTGAACCCGCTACCCTCGGCATATGGGGCCGGCGCCCTACCCACTGAGCCATAGGCACCGCCCTTTTTAGTCAGAATTATGTTCACTAGGACTCGGATGTAGATTTGGGATGAAGTAATAGTTCGAATATAAGAAGGGAGTCTTTCATTTGTAAAATGAGGAAATTGGGGGAAGAAAAGGGAGCCTTTTAGGATGGACATTGAGATTAAAGTTTTATAAGTGTGGCAGCTTTGACTGCACAGTAACCTGGCCAGCGGTGGTTGTCATGAAGGAGCGGAAGTGTGGCTTTAATCGAAACATGAAGTGTGGCATTAAGTAATTCGGTTAAAGATGTAGTTTTGATTGGTTGAGGAGCGAAGGCGGGCATGACTTATCCGGAACCGCTTGGAATGAACTGGCACTCAGAAGTGTGGTGTATTCTGGTCTCATGGTTACGCAGACACCTGAAGTGTGGCTTTCATTTACACATTCGGCACGTAGGACAGAGAGTGCATCTAGTAATATTGATTCCCAGCGGATTTGATGACAGCGTCTGGGATGGAATGGAATTGTAGTTTCAACTTAAGAATCGTAGGGTTTTGAACAGAATAGTTGGTATCAGGAGTCGGTTGAGGGCCAAGAGCGGGCACCAGAGTTCGGATCCTACGAACTGGGGAAAGTTGCCTACGTCGAGGGTGCTGAGGACGCTTAGGTTCCTTTCCCAGGACCATGGCGAACTCGAAGCTGCTGGCCCCTGAGTTATGCGAGACAGAGACAATGGGTGCCGAGACGGCGCGATTCGAGGAGCTGCTGCTGCTGCAGGTGCAGAATGACTGGACCCTTGGATCCTTGGGTATTTGGGATTTTAGGTGGGGGTGCTCAAAAATGGGACTCCTGTTCCCAGAGTGCACTAGGGCAGCAACAGGGCTCTCTGGAATTGTAGTTGCTTGGCTCCAAGTTTGCTAGGTTCTGAAATGGGGATGGGGTTGGAATCCTCAAAAGAGGTGGGGGACCTAGACTGTATAATTTCTCTCATTATATATGTATTCTCATACATAAGAATTGCCCCCCAAAAGTATGAGGAAGCCCTGGGGGGGGGGGTCTGATAGCACAGATTCTAAACCTGGAGGTTGTTTTCCTTCACACAGGCCTCCAAGGAGTTCCAGCAGGCCCAGATAACCAGACCAGATTCTACACAAATTCAACCTCAGCCTGGTGAGAAAGAAAAACCCAGAGAGAGAGAGGGTTAGAGTCCCAGAGAGAGCTGGCATGGAGATCACGGGAAGGGGACAGAGAGAGAGGAGGAAGGAAAGAGAAAGAATAATGGGGTATAAAGGCCTGGGGTTGGGTGGGGTGAGATAAACAGACAACCACAGATAATCACCCAGGGACAGTAATCCAAAGAGAGGAGGTGGAGGACAGAGAGCAAGATTGGCCAGGGAGACAGATTAAAAGATAGGAAGAGGGTCAGGGGTCTCCGTGGAGGGCAATAGACTCAGAAAGGTGGTTAGAGACCCGAAGAGAGGGAAACAGACCAAAAGAGGGAAAGAGACAGAGACTGGAGAGGATGGTGGAGACTGAGACTTGTGTGAGGACAGATGGTTGAGACAAACTCACTCCCACCAGGTTTCTGCATAAAGACTAACTCATCGGAAGGGAAGGTTTTCATCAACATCTGTCACTCTGCCTCCATCCCTCCTCCAGCTGATGTGACCGAGGACGAGCTTCTTCAAATGCTGGAGGAGGACCAAGCTGGGTTTCGCATCCCCATGAGTCTGGGAGAACCTCATGCTGAACTGGATGCAAGTCAGTTCCCTTGAGAGGACACAACAATCTAACCCACAATGTTCTTTCTTCCCTAGAACCTAAGAATCCAGGCCCTGGATTCTCCCTCAAGTCTCAGAAATCTGGCCCCCTGGTCTGATCTTTTTCTCTTGCCTCCTGGGCATCCAGCATGTGAGCAGTCCTGGTTCTGCCACATGGCCAGGCTTGAACTTCTCTGTGGCCCATTCCAGTGTAGGGGAGTGCTCTCTGAGCATTAACTGAGCTCCTGGCATTAACCTTGGGCTGGCTCTCTCATCCCTGTTTTCTCCTCTGCCCTTTTCTCTTGTCTCTATTTCTGCCTTGTCTTACCTCTGTCCCTGTATCTTTTTTTTTTTTTCATATCACATGTGTTTTTTGAAGCTTTAGGCAATGCCCTTGGGAACAAGGACTTATCAGACCTGCCCTTCAGATACTCCCTGTAATGGGTAGGGGTGAAGGAGACAGGTATAATTTCAGCAGGGATTGGTGCTACCCAACACAGCCCCATGGGGAGTCTTCATCCACATGGAGGGGTCACGGGGTCAGGGAAGGTTTCCTGGACAAGATGTCACAGGAGATAAGTTGAAGGAACAGGAAGAGTTCATCAGGCAAAGACAGAAAAGGTTCTAGGCAGAAGGGACCAAGGGGCTCAGAGCCAGGAGAGAATGATTGGATCAGGCAGGAATCAAGAGTAGATAGAAGGTTGGGTAGATAGAAGGTTGGGTTCACTGGAGGAGCAATGAATTTCTCTCCAGAGGTGGGAGAGGCAGCCCACACAGGGCCTTGAACACCAAGCTGAGGGACTCAGACTTTAGCTTGGGGATGCTGGGGAGCCAAGGAAAGCTGTGAGCAAGCCAGGGATGTGGTGAGCTCTAGTGACAATAGACCAAAGAAAGAGGGACTGGAAGCTGGGGAGGAGGCGGGTCTGAGATTCCAGAATGGAAAGTCAGTATGTTAAGCTCTTTGTGTCCTTGGTTCTTTTTTTTTTTT